GGTTTAGGGTGTAGGCAGTGGGGGTTCAGGGGTTTAGGGTTTCGGGGTTTAGGGGTGTAGGGGTGCAGGGCTTTAGGGGTGTAGGGGTTTAGGGGTTACGAGGTTCAGGGGTTTAGGGTTTGGGGGTTTAGGGGTTTAGGGCTTAGGGGGTTTAGGGGTTTAGGGTTTGGGATTGAGGTCTATGGCAGTGTTGAGGGAACAGAAACCTATATAGCTCCCATAAGTCCTAGAAGCAACCCTATTGAGCCCTATTGGTCATGATAAACCCCAGAGACAAGCCCTACAATGCCAACGTCTGTATGCTTTGAATAGTCTTAGCATTCTAGGATAGGTTTCCTGTTGGTAAGCATGGTGGTTTGCATCATATGCCGGCTAGTGTCATTGTGGTAAAGCCTCCAACGTAAACTAAACCGTAACAGTACTGACGAAGCACAGTCGGAGTCATGCTCATATACACACCACATTCGTAAGATTTACCTTGATAGTGCTACCAGTGCTGCTGAGCGTGGGAGTGTGAGATTGATAGCGAAAGTCACAGCAGGAGTGAGAGTCATAGTCGTGGCCCTACTATGAAAACCAACAGCAGCAAGATAACCCTAAACCCTAAACCCTAAACCCAACCCTAAGCCCTAAACCCTAAAGTTGAAGCTAATGCTGCGCGGATGAACTGGAGAGCCTCGGTACAAGATGTTTACTGGACCCCCAAGCCCTCAACCCTGTACTGCACGTGCCGGAATGACAAGTATGAATAGTCCCTGAAAGTTCTAGTTGCCCAGAGAACCCAATACCCCTTAATTCAGGAATATACCTTAAATAATAATGTCAAGGCCCCTATAATTTGCGGCATATTCCTTATTTAAGAGGATATACTACAAGACTATGGCCCCACGCGCCTTCAGACCTTCTGTTCCCCACTTCTAAGGCCCCTACATTGCCTTTGCTCGTTCGTGTGTCGTTTCGTCCTTTTTTGTTTCTTGGCTCTATGGAGCCTTTTCCCTCCAAAGCCGACCCCCGATATCCTAAAGCCCTGAACCCTAAACCCCAAACCTCTAAACCCTAATCGCTAAACTCCAAGATCCGAAACCCTTAAACCCCTTGTCACTCAGGCAAAGATGGAGTTACGAGAGACTGTCCTCGAACGAGATGTGAACGAGGCCCAGTTTGGCTTTTGCAGTTTGAGCCTTTTTGCGTTTAGGGTTTAGGTTTTGGGGTTTAGGGGTTGAGGGGTTAAGTGTTTACGGATTATTCGGGGGTTGTGGGGGTTTAGGGTTTAGGGATTCAAGGGTTTGTGGTGACCTATGTTGCTGGGTTTACGTTCCTGCCTGCTCGCATGGAACCCCATGCGGCGCCCTAAACCCTAAACCCTACACCATAACCCTCCACCCCGGAACCCCTAAACCCTAAACCCTCATAAACCCCTAGTAATCCCAACGTTTAACCCCTAAACCCAAACGCCCAAACCTGATCAGCCTGTTTTTTCAAGCCATGCTTCACTTCAAGGAGAGAAGGGCCTCGGTTCTTGCCAGGAAACCAGGCAGCAGTCACCAGCAGTGCAGTAGAGCAAATAGAACAAGTAGAGGTAGAGTAGAATAGAGTGGAATAGAATGGAATAGCAGAGTGAAAAAATAGAAAAGTACAGTGGGTTAGAGTAGGCTGGAATTCAAGAGAATAGAATAGAAGAGTAGAAGAGTAGAGCAGTATAGAAGAGACATGAGCCTAGCATAATTGAAGAAAGCATAGAGCTATAGTTGGATATACCCCGAACCGATTGGACTGTTGAAGGCCCCATGTTACCAGGGACCCTGGGTCACTCACAGCTTGCAGTCCGTAACGGCGACGATCAGTTTCTGGGCATTGGGCGTTACTTGCCAATGTATCCCCTGATAGTTCCCCATGCTTCTAGTATACAATACAAACCCTACATCCTAAACCCAAAGCCCCCAAATAATGAGAAAACACTAGTTTTGCGGATTTTAGCTGTTCATGATCTCGGTTCGCAGCTGTCTTTCTTGGGGTGGGGGGGGGGGGGGGTGTTAAGGCTTAAACCCTACACCCCCCCTCCAAAACCCAAACCCTAAACCGTTTAAGTCTGGACACCTGGCTCCGGCTCCGACCCTTGACTGTGGCTTCCTAAAGCCCGCGAGTACATTTGCAGTACTATAAGCCAAACCCTGAAGTGCTGAACCCCAAGGCCTCGCACCCCAGAATCTTGGGGCTTAGGGTTTAGGGCCTTTGGGGTTTAGGGTTTCAGAGGCGGTGCGCCTTCTCAAAGCTGCGACCTACGCTGCCGCCGTAGACCCGGAGACAGGCCTGAGACTGGTAGTTTCTGGCAGGTCTTTAGTATTACTGTGTCTTTGACCTCTGTTGTATGTTCATCTGTTAAGTTAAATTTGTTGGATCGTTTGGATTTAATTTGTGTTTATATTTCTATCTTGTCAACTTTTTTTTAAAGTTTTGTCTGCTCAAATATCACTTATTAGACTTCTGGCTTGAAGCGTGCCAAACCGTTGACGTGTTAGTAACAGCTTGGTTCGTGTATTTTGTTCCTGGTACTTTTTCACTTTTGTATCTGCAGTCTGAGACCCACAGGCCCCTTTATCCATGAACGGTTCCGGAGTCCAGTTGGGCTTCTGAGTCGTGTCCCTGGTGTTTTGGTCAGAAGGGCTCAATGATCAATGGTTCAGGGGTGAACCAGGCCCCAGAGATTAGTACAGGGGCCTTCAAAATTAGAATGGGGTTTTGAGGTATTCTACTATTTCCATAGTAAGGGACCCCCAAAACATTATGGGTAATTATTAAGGCCCCTATATTAGGGTTTTGGGTGAAGTTGTTGAGGGTTAAAGGCTTCTCACATGCCCCAGCTACATCTTAAGCCAGCAAAACAAGCCCTAAACCTTAACCCTAAAACCCAAAAACCCTGAAACCCTAAAACCCTAAAACCCTAAACCCTAAAAGCTCCTGCCCCGAAGAAGACGCAAGGCCTCATCGACTGGGAGCAGCACCTGAGCTGCACTGACAGCTGTCACAAGGCTTTTCCGTAGAAAAGGATTCCAAAAAAATGGCAAAGGTACTGTTCCGTTATGATTCCCATGATGCCTACATACTGATAGATCCGTCGTCGTATCCCTGTATATTACAGGCATCAGTCACCTGGGCTTTTGTCAGGGGTGGGATGATTTGATGAGGGTCCACGGCGCTTCAGATCCTCCACCCCGGTTTAGAGCCCAGGAAGTACCCTGAATCCAAAGCCCCCATGCCTCTCTACGAACCCCACTAACCGCACTCCCCAAGCGATCTTTAGTCTTTAGCCTCTAGACCCTATCCTGCAAGCCCTAATCCCCAAGCCGGTTTTGACATGGATTCCACGTAGGTGTCGATAGAAAGCCTCGCGAGAAGCGAAGCCCGAAAGTGCTATGAGGGGCGCCGTTAAATTCAAGGTCCGTGTCTGGGCATGGACCAAGGAGAAAGTCTGGAGGCCTCAAGAAGTGGGAGTGTACTGGGGTGCTAGTGGGGCTTCCTACTATGGTTGCAGTAGGGGCCAGCGGAGGGACGGCCCCTTCAAGGTTTCGATCACTGGGTTCATTCTTAGAGCCCTTTTCGCCCAGGCTCATTTCCGGCAAGAGCGCTGGCCAGCGAAAGCGCATGCAGGCTGTCATGCACGAGTGCTTTTACATATCGAATGTTGTCACTGTTCTATCTGTCTATTTATTTGTTATGTATTTGTTTATTCAGTTGTTTGCTTATTTATTGATTTATTCATATATTGATTTATGTATTTATTGACTTATGTATTTATTGATTTATTGACTATTTCATTTTGCTAGTTAGTTGTTTATTTATGTCGCGTAGACACACACATATATATATATATGTATATCTACGTGTATGTATGTATGTATATATGTATATATGTGTGTACGTATGTATGTAATGTAATGTAATGTCATGTAATGTCATGTCATGTCATGTCATGTCATGTCATGTGATGTGATGTAATGTATGTAGGTAGGTAGGTAGGTAGGTAGGTAGGTAGGTGGGTAGGTAGGTGGGTGGGTAGTTGGGTAGGTATGTATGTATGTATGTATGTAGGTAGGTAGGTAGGTAGGTAGGTAGGTAGGTCGGTGGGTGGGTGGGTGGGTGGGTGGGTGGGTAGGTATGTATGTATGTAGGTGTGTACGTATGTACGTGCGTATGTACGTACGTATGTATGTATGTATCTTTGCATGTGTATCTCTCGATATATACATGTATATTCATGTTTATATATCTGCGTATGCTTGTAAGTTGTTGTTTGCCGTCCATCTATTTGTGTGTGCACTCACATATACGTATACACCTCCACACACACATACATACACATATGTGTATACATATATGTATATATATATATTTATATTTATATTTATTTTTATATTTGTCCAGCAGTTTTGTTATGTACATGTTTTGATTACGCGTTCAGCTTGTATGTAAGATTTAGAACATACAGCCCTGATCAATGACTCCCTTCATCAGCTGAGGATACTCCAAGCCTAAGCCCTGGTCTTATTCCGGGTTCTACATCTTTCTTGGGGAGTGCCAGCTTCGGCTTCAAGGCCTCAGGACTCCAAGAGCTCGGGGTTCAAGGTTAAGAGTTTAATATAGGGGCTTCAATAATTAGAATAGGGTTTTGAGGGGGTCCTCATGGAAAACGGTAGTACAAGAGACCCCCAGTCCCTATTCTAATTATTAACCCTATTGTGATGTTCGCTCCACAAACATGCTCTAGGGCATTTCCGCTGCACGGCGAAAGCTTGCATACGTAGCACCACCCTCGGGTACTTCTCTCAAATAGGGTTGGGCCTGCGCAACTGAAGCCTTATGGACTACGCATGGGGCCAGAAAAGACGCCCTGACCTTTGCAGTGCTTGAGGACCTCGTTTGCCCCAAGCAGAACCCCTCTAGGTTCTTCAAGTTGGTAGCGGAGCGGACCACGCTCCAGGCGACCTACAAGTTCAAGGAACATGGGCGGCTCAGGAAAAGGGAAGGATGGACCTACCTCTTCGACTTCCACCGCTGCCACCGCGAATCCCGACGTGGTGAGGGATAACTATATCCCCCTCTTCGATGGACAGCCCAGCTCCTACAAGGAGTATCGTAAGAGAGTGGCGCTGTACTTCAAGAAGATGAGTTTGGCAAGCAAGAAGACGGAGGCCACCATCAACCTCCTTACCTCCCTCAACGGGCCCGTCTGGAAACAGGTGGAGCACCTCGCCGAGACGGCCCCCGACGACGAGAATGGTTTCAACATCGTGCTGCAGGAGCTGGACCGGGTTTACCAGTATGACAGCAGGGTCGAAATGCTGAAGGCCTTTGAGCGCTTCTTCTACGGCATCAACAGGCCGTACGGCCAGACCCTCATCCAGTACTGCTCCGACCACAGGGAGGCCGCGAGGGAGTTGGAGCGCCACGACGTGAAGCTTCCGGACCCAGTTGGAGGCTGGCTGCTGTTGAGGAGGGCAGCCCTTACAGCAGAACAGCGACAATTGGTCATGAGCCAAGTGGACAACAAGAAGCTCAGCGTGAACACAGTTGAACAGGCGCTGTTCTATTTGTTCGGCCAGGACTACCGGTCAGGCCGAAGCGAGCCACGCCCAAGCGGAAAAGGACGGGGAACCTACCCCCACCGCTGGAGTTCCTACAGGACACACTCCCCGACCTATCCGGCGGAGGACGAGGAGCCCTACTACGATTACTACGAGCCGGAGCACCAGGAGGACCCTCACGAGGCCCAGTACTATGAGGACGAGCCGGATCCCTATGACGAGGAGGATCCGGAGGCCACGGACCTTGACCCCTATGACGGCAACTACGTGGCTGATGAAGATGAAGCCGACGAGGTGGTAGAGGAAGCCTATGCTGCCTACCTGGATGCAAGGCGAAGGTTCGCCGAAGTCAAGGCGGGACGCGGCTACTACCCGGTGGTGGCAATGGTTGACCCGCCGGGAAGTCAGATGCCACTGGCCGCGATGCCCTCCAAGGGCAAGCCGCAGAAAGGAAAAGGAAAGCCCAAGGGCGCTGGACGTGGGAAGTTTGGTGGACCACGTGGGCCTGCCCAACCTCCAAAAGGGGCAGCCCGAGCAGACTCTACCCGGTGTCTACGCTGCGGACAAGTCGGACACTGGGCGTCGCAGTGCCCGAAGCCTCCCGCTCCTCCCGGCACGTCCGCACCCTCCTCGCCGAACAAGAGGCCTAAGCAAGGAACAGCTATGATGGCTATGGGTGCTAACTCCTCCTTGGCACCTCGTCGCTTCGGCCGCTGCGTTGGCCTTCAGCTGCGTTGGCCTTCAGGACGGCGGTGCCTCATCCATGGTTGGTGGCCACGACTACGTCATGGAGGTCATCACTGAGTATGTCGAAAAGGGATTGGACCCCGAGACCATCGCCTTCACCCAGACCAACAAGAGCTTCCTGTTCGGAGGCGACCACCGCTGCTTGGCCGACTGGAGTGTCCACCTCCCAGTCTGGATCGGTGGAACCAAGGGCCGCATTCAGTGCTTCCTGGTGGAAGGAGCAATGCCCATCCTTGTCGGACGGCCCTTGCTGAAGGCGCTGAAGGTGAAGGTTGACTATGACACCGATATGGTGTCAGTGCTGGGAGAACCCTGGACCTCAGTTCTAAAAGGGCCTAAGGGAGAACACCTCCTTGCTTTGGACGACGGCATGAGCGAGGACACCCTCCATGTCGACTATGACTTCGATTACGTCACCGACGACTGTGTGGAGGACTTCCTTGCCGATGGCATCCTCCATAGCCTGGGAGACTACCTTAAGCAGACGGGCCGCGCGGGCCCTGTCTTCACCCTGGACGAGATCATGATGGAGGAGGACGAGCCTGCGATCAACGTGCTGGACGACAATGCCAAAGAGTTGAGGGAGAACTCCAAACTCGCCCCGGCGGTTGAGTGCCCAGTCCCGGTCACTCTGTGGAAGAGCATCATCTTCGGCATCAACCGCTCAAAGAACAGCCTCAATAGGCAGCTGGAAGCGGCTTACCGTGCCTCTGATGAGACCTGTGCTCTCTTCTGGGAGGTGTACAGTGGCTCTGGAAATTTGGCCGCCGCCATGCGGCAGTATGGATTCCAGACCCGGACTTTCGACCTCCCCGAGTGGAACTTCGAGGACGCCAGCCACAGAAGATCCTTCTTCGACCTACTCGAGAAGGAGATGCCACACATAGTGTGGCTGGCCCCTCCGTGTACCAAGTGGTCACCACTTCAGAACCTCACCAGGCGGACCCAGGAGGACCTCGATGTGCTGCAGGCCACCAGGGACTACGAACATCATACCCACCTCCTCTTTGTGAGACGAGTTTTTCTGCGTATGGCCCAATTGGGTATAGCAGTCATTGAGCACCCCCAGAACTCCAAGGCATGGAGCACCCCGGCTCTGCATGATCTGGGGTTGGAGGTCATCGTGGACCAATGTGCCCTGGGGGCAGCCTTTCCGGATGCCCAAGGAAACTTGGTTCCCATTAAGAAAGCTACGAAGCTGGTTGTGAACCACCAGCTGCTCACGGAGACCCTGGGAGTCTACAGATGTGACGGAACCCACCGCCATCAGACCCTAGCTGGGTCAACCGGACTGATAGGATCGAGGGCGAAGGCGGCTGGAATCTACCAGCCGAAGATGTGCGGCTTCATTGCGGAAGCCCTCCAAGGAGCCTACTACGCGCACTTCGTCTACGGCAACTCTACAGCAGAAGAGGCCCTGCCAGCCTCTGATGTCGATATGGAAGAATACGAGCCGTCAGACGCACCACCGGAAGATGACGATCTTTACCCCCCGAAGACGGAAGACGACCCCGATGACATTGACCTCCCGACCAACCAGGACATGGAGGCGGAGTACAACTTCGGAAGAGGAGAGCCGAGGACGAATTTAAGTCCGCCACAATCAAAGTCTACTTCCGCACATCCTATTGCACAACCAGATCCACCACAATCAGAGTCTACTTCCACACATCCTGTCGCACAACCAGATCCACCACAATCAGAGTCTACCCCCACGTCTGTGAAGCTGACAGGGTGTCTTCAGAGGTTGGAGTGCAGGACACCAGGCACAGCGGATTGTGGCCCGTTTGCACAGGAACCTTGGACATCCCAACAATCGGGATTTGCGAGTAGTGCTGGCTCAAAGTGGAGCCAACAGGCTGGTGGCGGAGACAGCCGAGAACTACCAGTGCCCCACCTGTCGAAAACTAGCACCTCCTGTGCAAGTACCCAAGACAACGTTGCGGACAACCTTCCGATTCAACGAAAGACTATTGTCCGACACTGTGTGGCTACAGGTACTGGACAAGACCGTCCCGGTCATCACCATGATGGATGCTGCGACACGCTATGTTGCCGCCAGAGTGGTTCGACGGGAGACCTCTACGGAGTTCCTACAGGCTCTTGAAAGAGGATGGATCCGCGTGTTTGGACCACCGAGAACTCTGTTCGTGGACAGCCACCGAGCTTGGGGTAGTGACGAGGTGATGCGCTACGCTACAGAGCACGGAGTCGAGCTGGTGATCTCCCCTGCAAAAGCTCACGAGCGTCTAGCCCAGCTGGAGCGCCGACACCAAGTATTGCGGAGGGCAGTGGAACTGTACCTGGAGGACAATCCACCCACAGGTCAAGAGAGTCTGGTCGAGGCCCTTTGCTTTGTGATACCCCAGCTCAACCAGAGCCTCTCGGTTGGAGGTTTCAGTCCCACGCAATGGGTGCTTGGCTACCAGCCTAACATCCCCGGCAGCCTCCTGGACTCCAACGTCAACTACAGCCACTTGGACCCCACCGAAGCTTTCCAGCACAAGATGCAGTGCCGCGTGAGAGCGGCCACGGCGGTGGTGAAAGCGGACAATGATCTACGCCTACGACGAGCTCTACTACGACAACACCGCGGCAACCCGCCACGCATGCTGGTCGGGCAAAAGTGCTTCTACTGGCGGGAGGCTGCGGGATCCGGTCCCCGCATCCGATGGAAGGGACCAGCGACCGTCGTCCTCGTCGAATCTCAGCGAGGTCCGGACCACCCACCTACAGTCTACTGGCTGGTGCATGGGTCTGCCCTGATTCGAGCAGCCCCTGAGCATGTCCGACCCGACATGGAGTCAGACACCTTGGCAGCCGACACCCCGGCGTTGCACACCATGGTGCGTCACGTGCAAAATCGCGGCACCACGGTGTACCTCGACCTTTTCAAGACCAACAAGAAGCGGCGCCGGGAGGACCTGGCCCATTCCGATGACGAGGCCATGGACGATGACAACGACAACCCGCCGCCTCCTCCTGGCCAGCCTCCACTACTACCACCGCCACCGTCACAGACCGCGAGCTCACCTACCTGGCCGAGTCTGCCCGACTCGTCGGATCTCCTGGACAGCGAGGGCAATTTCCCGGACACTCCCAGCCCTTCCTCTCGGCCCCGCGGCCCGCCACCGCCTCGACCTCAACACGCCCCCCAGGATCACGCTGGCGGCCCGCCAGCGGGGCCCACCCCTACTGAGGCAGCCAGCACTCCAGTGCCTCACGAAGAAGGCTCCGACAGCGAGCAGATCCATGACGACCCCTCTGTGAATCCAGATCCGGACTCGGCTAGGCCACAACTACGGCACCTACTACAGCAGACCGACCTGGTACCGCTACAGGAGGCGAAACTTCAGCTACGAACTCGCCCAACGACGAGCTGCACCATACCTTCAGCCCAGGCGGCCCCGAAACCTTTGACCAGAAGCGGGCGCGCATTGACCGAAGCGAGACCATCAGCCACGTGGTGCACCCTACCTTCCGCACCCCGGCCACACCGGAGACTTTTGAACAGAGGAGGTCACGGATCGACCGGAGCGAAACCATCAGCTACGGACCTAAGGGACCGGGGACACCTTCACGACCACAACCGTACGGCCCCACCACAGAACATGGATTCCTCGTCGACGTCCTGGAGCCAGAGGCCACAGATGCTGCTCCCGAAGCCGGCCTTCCTTCGGGGTGGTACGCGGACGAGCATGGATATCTGGTGTTGGAGCCAATCCATGACACCTGGGAGCTGAAGGGCAACACCCTGATCCGGAATCACTACGTGGCTCGGGACTCCCTCTTCAACCCCCGAGAGACCGGAGACTGTCCCATCCCAGAGGAGATGCTGGCGAAGGACCGTACTACCCGTCGAGGAAAACATTGCCACCAGGATCGCTGGAGGAACTCCCCCACTCCCGGCACCGACCAAGACTGGACGGGCCAAACCTCGTTCAAGATCCTGACACGCCACCGACGAGAAGCTCAGCAGGCCTTCTACGCGGCATCCCATGGAGCCACTACCCACGCCGGTACCAAGGAGAAAAGGCAGAAAGATGCTCGGGCCAACTTGAGCGAAAGAGCTATGTCTTTGGCAGACAGGGTGGCGTTCGTGCAGGCGAAGAAGAAAGAATTGGAATCGTTTTTCACGAACCACGTTTGGGAATTTGCGACCGAAGGGGAGGCTCCAGCGAACCGAGTGCTGAAGGCCCATTTCATATTGAAGTGGTCAAAGCACCCGGATGGAAGCCCCCGAGCGAAGGCCAGATTGATCACGCAAGGCTTCCGCGACCCGGACGCCTTGGCAGGCCTTCTGGACTCTACCAGCCCGACGTTGTCACGCCTGGGGAGGACCACGCTTATGTCATTGGCTTCGCTAAAGTCCTGGAACACCTTCATCGCCGACATTACCACCGCCTTCCTCCAAGGAAAGGAGCATCCTGCCTCGAGAACGCTGTGGATACGGCTACCGGCTGATGCCAGGGCGCTGCTTGGCATCTCAGACCCAAGGGTTCTGATGAGGCTTCGCAAGCCAATGTACGGCCTCTCCGATGCGCCCCGCGCATGGTATGAGGAAGCGTCGCGGAGACTGCTCTCCCTCGGGTTTACCAAACACCCTCTTGACGGATGTCTCTACCTTTGGTTCGATACCGAACTCCGATGCGCGATCGGCCTCCACGTGGACGACTTGCTCGGGATTGTGGAACCCGCGTGGTCCTCCAAGGTGAAGGAGGATCTGCAGGGCCTGTTCGCTTTCAGAGACTTCAGAGAAGACCAGGAGAACTTTGACTTCCTGGGAACACAGGTTTCCCGACAACCCGACGGCGGATTGGCATGTGGCCACGAGGAGTACATCAATAAGGTGAAGCCCATCGCCCTGGAAAGAGGCCGACAAGCTGATCCGGACAGCCCCGCCACCGACAAGGAGAAGACTCAGCTCAGAGCCTTGGTGGGTGCACTCCAGTGGGCGGCCACTCAGACCTCCCCACACCTCCAAGTGCACACCTCCATGCTGGCGGGAGAGGTCCCAAGAGCTACGGTGTCCACCATTCTGGCGGCCAACAAAGCACTACGCTTTGCCAAGGCGAACTCTGACGTGAAGCTCCTCTACCCGCCCATCCTGGATAACACTGAGGACATCGTTTTCCTTGCCTACTCCGACGCAGCCTTTGCCAGCCGCGCCGACATGTCGAGTCAAGGAGGATACATGGTGTGCCTGACTCATCGGGCCATCCTTGACGGGGGCATCAGCAGCTATCACCTTCTGGATTGGAGGTCGTTTCGACTTCCCTGAGTGGCACGGTCCACCCTGGCTGCCGAAGGACAGGCGGCTGCCGAGGCCACGGATTGCCTACACTTTGTGATCACGTTCTGGAAGGCGATGCTGGACCCGAGCTACAAGATCAACAGCGACGAGCAGTGCTTCCGCTGGAAGAACGAGAGCCTCCTCGTGATCGATGCCAAGTGCCTCTACGACATCCTACATCGCGAGGAGCTCTACGTCTCCAGCACCGCGGATAAGCGAACGTGCCTTGAGGCCCTGGTCACCCGGGACAAGCTAAAGGAGATAGGTGGCAGCGTTCGCTGGGTATCCTCGGAATGCCAGTACGCGGATGGCCTCACAAAGGATTCGGCGACCCAGCTGTTGGCAGACCGTTTGAGGACGCACCAGCATAAGATCACCGCCGACGAGAGCTACCAGGCCAGCCGAAAGAAGGATGCCGGCGAGCGAGCGAGGAGCGCAAACCAGTTCGCGCGGCCTAAGGCTGCGGCGTCTGCAATTGCGGCCACCGCCTTCTTCGCGACACCCTCGGCCGCGACAAGGACGGAGGACATGACGGCCCTCATCCTCTACAGCTTCCCCGAGGAGATCACCTACTACGAGACCGGTGCCTACGTGTTTGCGATTCTGCTGGTGGCGATGGTGCTGATCTACTGGCACCCCTGGACGAAGTGGACATTTTTGCGGTTCCCGAGAACCGCCCCCTGTTCGACAGAGGCCACCACACAGACCGGGAATTCCAGCACCAACAAGGGTGCCCAGACCGATGCCACGTACCTTGTCCAGCCCTTCCCGGAGATGAGGACTTTCCGGCACCGTGGCGTCCAGACGGACAGCCTTTCACGGACCAGCAGGCATTCATCTCTTGAGACGGTGCTGCTGGAGCTGGCCACAGTGCGTGACCAGAATGGTAGGCTGGCCGCTGCTGTTCGACAACAACAGCATCTCATCGACTACCACACAAGCAACCGCCTCAGCCACCACCACGTTGGGGACATCTACGTGACTCCACATGGCCGGGTGTGGCACACCAGCGATGTTTGTGCTCAGAGTCGCACTGAGAACAGGGTGCAGACTAGGGCCCCATGCTCCTACTGCACAGACTCCTGGATACCAGTACCTGCCCACCTCACGTACAACCCCAACTTCCGGCTTCAGCGTGTGCCAGATCAGGACCCCGCCGCCACTTCATCCACTACTATCACCCCAGACGAACATACCTTTGTGGTCCTTGGCGAGACGGGCTCTTCCTGAACATCCCTTGAATGCCAAAGCACTGGACATCGAATCGACGTCCAATTTTTTGCGACCACACATGGCGTAATAACCGCCCCCTGTGTGATGTTCGCTCCACAAACATGCTCTAGGGCATTTCCGCTGCACGGCGAAAGCTTGCATACGTAGCACCACCCGCGGGTACTTCTCTCAAATAGGGTTGGGCCTGCGCAACTGAAGCCTTATGGACTACGCATGGGGCCAGAAAAGACGCCCTGACCTTTGCAGTGCTTGAGGACCTCGTTTGCCACAAGCAGAACCCCTCTAGGTTCTTCAAGCCTATTCTCATTATTAAGGCCCCTACATTACACTTACACCCAGAAAGCCTCGTTTTTAGCTAGGGCCCTCCCTGCCACAGGGTCACCCATGGCAGGTAGTTGTAGGGTCTGCAAACGGGGTACCCCAGTTTTCACAGACCCTAAACCCTGCAAGCCCTAAGCCCTAAGTTTAGGGTTTAGAACCCTAGCCGAGAAAAGCTGGGATTCTTTGCAATCAATTGTCGTCCTGCCTATCATCTAAACCCGAAAACTCCTAAACCGTCGACCGTGGCCTATCCCTCTTGGCAGGAGCTGGAGATATTGGTGCAGGAGGTCGGCATGGAGTTTGGGTTTAGGGGGATTTAAGGCGAAATCTCTGCCGTAACTTGAAATAGCAACCCGAAACTGTGCCCAAAGCCCTAAACCTCAACCTTATACATCCTGAATACCCGAAGCCATTGTCCTAAACGTCAGTCTTGTATTTGGGGCGCCTGCAGCAAATACTGAATTGGCGGCTGTGCCGAGAAGAAAGAGAGGGATAAGTCCAATCGGCAGAGTAATTTGCATCAACTTACAGGCCGCAGATCGGGGAAGAAAAGAGAAATGAAAGAATGACCCAGACGCTGATCCCACTCGACAAACCCTCATGCCATAAACTACAGACCCTGGAAAATCTGAACGGGAAAACCACCCGCGACCTATCATCTAAAGTTCTAAAGACCCTGGGAACATGAACCGGGGAACCCTAAGTAGTTCCTTTCTGGGATCACCTTATAGGATTGTGAATATAAACCACAAAAAGGAACTACTTAGGGGCCTATGGGTGAACCGGAGAACCCTACTGCCCTCAGGCCATGAAAAGGCCTCGGAAGCATTACTCTGAATGTTTTACAAACCGGTACCGGAGAGCGGCTGATAGGCTACTAGGTGCGACGAGCCTGGTGGACCTTAACTACCTGGACCCCAAATAACCTATGTTGTTTAGGACTTTTCTTGTGGAGTTCATGATCGAGACAGCTCAATAGGAAGGTGTCAATAGGGTCCAGGTTGGGCTTACGGAACAGGGCATTGCTTGTTGGATCGCCGGAGTGTTCCTCTGAAACAAGCCCGCAACAGTGTCCAGGGCTTTCATGGGCTCCTCATGTGCGTTTAGACTTAACAGTGGTGTTTGTTTTCTTCTATTCTTGAGGTCTGGGGCCCACGCATAAGCCCTCAACCCGGAACCCCCGACTTGTGAGGTAGCGTATAGAGCATGGATAAACCCTAAACCCTTAGCCCTAAATCCTAAACCCAAAACCCTAAACCCAAAACCCTAAACCCAAAGCCCAAAACCCTAAACCCCTAAACCCTAAACCCTAAACCCAAAAGCCTACACCCAAAACCCAAAAGCCCAAAACCGTGTATCATTGCTTTGGCTCTTACCTACAGTCTCCATTGTAGTTCCTTTTTTTGGTTTAACCAATTTTGTATTGAGGAACCTAAAAGGTGACCTCCAAAAAGGAACTACAATGGAGACTGTAGGTAGACCTGAAGAGGTGGCTTCCAGGATCCTAAGGCGCCCGAAGCCGAACGTAAAACCCCCCCTTACGAGTAGTGGGGTTTAGGGTTTCGAGTTTAGGGTTTAGGGTTTGGGGTTTAGGGTTTAGGGTTTAGGGTTTAGTTTAGGGTTTAGGGTTTAAGAGAATGCCCGAACACCTAGAAAAGGCTGTGGTTCTACATCGTTTTGGGGGTCCAGGAAGTCCCAGGGGCATGGCCCGTGCTCGAGTTTTACGAGTCTGTTCGGGTTCGGCAACGCAAGGTGTTAGACCGTTATCTGATGTGAGCTCCTGTTAAAGATGTTATCTACGATAGCATAAAACGAAAATAGCAGAATCATCTCCTTTGCCCAGCGTGGAATCCTGGAAACGAATATCTGGCAAGTGCTTGAATATGCTGTTCACGCCTGTTGATTCCCTGTGTGACTGTCATGGACGACATGCAACTCTTAAGTTGTGGTACTGTAACTTAAGAAAGTTCCTAACAGGTGGTTCACGAGAGGACGACTGCGGGCGACCAGGTCGGGTGTGGATTTTTGGGTTTGCTTCCGCATTTAGGCTTGGGACCCCCTGGGAACGGGAATCCGAATTTGCTGCAGCACCTCTTTAGAACGGTAACTGAGGTCCAACTTCCGCCTTTAACAGGTGTTCAGTTCCGCCCAGATAAAGCTAGAAAACCCTAAACTCTAAACCCTAAACCCCTAAACCCTAAAGCCTAAAGTTGCAAGTGACTCAGTGCATTCTTGGGACTGCGAGGTTCGGGCTACAGTGCGGTTTCCGCAAGGGGGCTTTGGAAACTGCTGTCATGAAGGGGTATCGGGGCTTCAGGCTTACATAGCCCGCCCATAAACCATCACCCTAATACCCTAAGCCTTAAACCATAAACCCTAAACCCTAAACCCTGAGCCCTAAACCCACTGCTTAAAAAAAACCCTAAACCCGAAGCCCCAAAGCCTCTAAGCCCATCAATCCCAATCCTTAGAGAAGAACCCCCCAAAT